TTATTAGAAAAAGATTGCTATAACTGAGAAAATGCTTTAATCTTCAAATAAGGGCTAGAAATATTCTTAAAATATTATGCAAATATTTAATAAAAACGTTATGGAATAGAAATAATCATCGGTTAAATAATAACACGAAAAAGACGTATCTTTACGCGAAATGTGTCAACAAGTGTGTGGCAATTACGCAGCTTACATATAACGCTCGTTATATCTACATATTTATATCGCTTCATTACATGTCGGCAATTGAATAAATATTTTGCAAACATTAAAGAAAAGAAGCGAATTGGAGGATGTAGCGGGAAATGTGTAAACAATATCGAGAAAGTACATCATGGGGAACCATGGAACGTAATACAGACTCAGATGGTACGGTAACAGTTTCAATAAGGCTCGATCGAACAGCCCGGGAGCACGTTACTTTATCCGATCAGCTATTTGCTTGAGGAAAAGTCCATCGCGTACTCGAAAGGGAGGAAAACTAACGTTTAAGGGATACGATACACAGACAAAAATACTACCGGCACGGAGCGGAGGTACGGAATTGATACATATAACATCCAATATTGAATGAAGCGCTTCTCGGCAAATAAACTTGTTCCGGTGTATTTACGCGGATAATGTTTGGTTGCTTCGTTAACCCCTTAAAGCTGCAAAATCATAATCCCATCGATGCTTTAATTCGTTTTACGGTTAACCCCATGATACCAATCACAGCTACGTGCAAAAGTTTCCGACCAGATAGATTTTTCGCTTTATATAACAGCGTTTATTTGTTAAACTATTTCTTCCATTATTCGGTATATCTTTATAACCGATAGGGTAAGGCGCAGTTATTCGAATCAGCCAAGTTTCAGCATCTAAAAAATTAAGTCTGGAATATTGCATAGAATAATTCGTAAATCTATTGGGTAGACCTAAGATGAGAAAATATCGTATGCTTTAATTCCTTTTAAAAAAAGTATTAAGAACAGAAACTTCTGCATATCTCACGGTATCTTGACAAGATCGACTAAAAATTGATAAATATAAACACCAGATCGAAAGAAAAAAGTGAGGAAGAAGCAGCAGGTTAATGGTTAGATGGCGAGCTTTAACGATAAAGCGTAGTGAGAGATATTTACGTGGAGCCATATGGTTGAGCAAGGCAAAACAGTTCTTAAAATGACACTCATAAATTTTGGTAAACGGCCTCGGTGGAATTTATATTCCGCGTATAGCAAAGGACGAACCGCGGCGTCCCTCTGTGTGCAGTTACGTCGGTATGCAACCTAACCTATATAACTTCCGGTATCAAGCGTCCGCGGATCCTCGTTACCGAGGGTAAAAGACACATTTCGCCTGTAGTTCCGGTAACGTGGTTGATTCTAATTGAGAAAAATCGTTTGTAACGCCATCCAGTGCGAAGAAGACACGCGCCTTGAGAATTTATTATAACAGTTCTTGTTTGCGAAATTTACCGTATCTTGTGCCAATTAAAATCGCTACAGTTTGGATTAATGTTGGCCTGAAGTGATCTTCAGTCTTTGCTAATCTTTCATTTCTTCAACTTTACCTTCGTTTAATGTTTGAGGATTATAAAATGTTTGAGAGATCGTTTCATTAAAACTTTGAGCCATTTGTAAGGGGAACGTTCATGTTGATAGTAATATCTCGAGTTTACAAATAATTTTCCCTTTGTCTCGAGGATTACATTCCCCTGCTTAAATATTGACGGTATGAAACAATGTATACCTTCTGCGTTAAAGAAATATTCCTGTGTGTACATATGCTCTAGTCTAAAGTAACGAAACGCGAAAGTTGCTCAAGAATTTATTTGTTCATTTAGAAACAAACAGGGTTCGACTGATAGTGCATTACGGTTCATTGATAAACAAATGTACGTAAATAAACGTAACAGTTTTATATTATTGTTATTATGATCTTGTTCTATAAGAGCTCATTACGGAGACAGTAGATTAAAACTCTATTGTGTAAACTGTTCTTGATATTTCTTTACAGTTTTACAGTAGTAATTGTGTTATGTATACTTTGTAAAAATTATTCTGTTGAATAAAAATATTTGAAAAGAAGAAAAAACGTTACAGTTCAAGAATATTCACAAGTATTCATTTACTGGTCTCATACGAAACCAAACAATTGTCTTAGATTGTCAAGGAAAACGATTGGCCGATTAGAATTTCCTACGCGTGTAAAATTGTGATTCGATATACGTATCTTTAATTTTTTGAAAATATCTACAAGATATTTTCTGTCATAGTTTTCTGATGTAAATTTTTGAAAATTTTTGGAAGAATTGAAACAGATATAGACATGGCAAAAGAAATAACAGACTAATGAAATTGTTATTATAACATTCGATATATAGATTCTTACGATCTATGGTTTGAATAATTTTTGTAAATGTCGATAATTTCCTAATAATTCTTCGAGCATATTTAATTCTTCGTTGACGTCCTAGTACCCAAACAGGAATGTACACTCAAATGACGTTTTACAATCTAAATGTTTCTAACTCACCCGCGAAAAAACAACGAAAGAAAAAGACAAAACGATAAATATCAGAAGTAAGTAGTTTTAAACGATCCGTTCGAATCCATCCCATTAACCAGCCCGATGTTCCGATCGCGCGAACAAAAGCGGGTGTTCGAGAAACTGACAGGGCCGAAGGGCCAGCCAATAAGTCCAAGAGGGATTCGATCACGCCCCGTTCGCGTTTCCATGTCCGCTCGATAAGACTGCGCAAACGAGCCCGCATCGTTTTTCGAACTCGATGACTCGGCCCTGTCGGCTGGCGATTATTTTTCCCGTTGCCGAACGGGAGATCGAGTTCGAGTTCGTTAAGCCGCAACAATAGGATTTATTTTCGCTCCTCTTGGAGATGGTCGTTTCGCGTTCGCCTTCATGACGCGTGTCACCAAAGAAATATCAGCTATTGGTTCCTCTTCTGGTTATCGAGTGACGTGAATTATTAACGAGGGAATGAATATTCGAAGCAACCGCCTCGATGCAAGATTGCGTTTAATCTGTCCGCGAAATTAACGCACACTTTTTCGGACCTTCCGAATCGACCTAATTGTTCGTCGATCGGATAAAAAAAGAAGGGCGTCAAAGGCTTTGGATATAAACTTGGTCGTTTATCTCCGACTGGTTGATTAATTATTATCGGTGCATTAGCCTGTTGAAATTATTGGAGGTGAGGGTAGAATACCTGATATTATTTTGAGGGAGATGTAAAAGCAAGCTTATGTTCCTTTTTACCTAACTGGAGTATATGTTACAGGAGTTCACTGATTTTCCACAATATCTGCGATGTTTTGTTTATGTAACAGGCGTTTACGTTCGAATAGTTGGAGTTAATAGGCAGAAGTTCATTTAACAGGCAGTTCATTTAATTAGACAGTAACTAAACTCTTGTTGTAATAAATGGAGCACTACTCCACTAGTATTGTAGCTATAGTAGCCTCTTTGGAATCAATCGATAGTTCTGACAGTACGTAAGGAATGCAAGTGAAACATTCAATAGTAAACACTTTCTATATTTTAATGAATTTTAGTGTTTTATATTTAACCATAACCATTAACCTTTTCTTAAATCATACGATTTAATCAGTTCATTGAATGTAACTTATGAAAATTCATTGATGTAACCTATCATGATTTTGCATATTATTTAATGGCGAGGATAAATGTTACATTACAATTTGCATTATATGTAGTAGTATTTCTTAATGAGTCTTTTATAGATCAGCTTGAGAGAGAACACAACAACCATAAACGTACAAATCCAGGTTGCCTTTCAATCGGATTATCTTCACACGCCTGAAACTCGTATTAGTCCATAATAGTATTGTAATCAGTAATCCATCGTATGCAGTTCGTTCTTTTTATCAAATTAAACCTATTCCATAGTGTAGATCAATCAGGGACAATTCGAAATTACTCGATAAAATTTAAACGAAGCGACGTGCGCGAATTAAAATCTGCGCGAGAATAGATAGAGAGAAACGGGGAAACGTTTATCGTAGCTGCATTTACAATGGGCGATTAATTGCTGAAAGTTAACTGTGACCAGCTTCTCGTCCCGCTGCAAAACGTTAGAACGCACGAACGACCGAGGTCAGGGGAGGATGACGACTCCATCGTGCAAGGGTTGCGCGCCCTCCGTTCTCATTTATGATCTTATGCGACGTGCGCGCACTGTTATATCTCCGTGGCTCGCATGGCAGTGCATATTAAATGCCTGACTCTTATCCGACGCTGGTTACAGCAACGGGCGTGATCGGTGTTTCAGACCATGACTCCTTCGAAAGCTTGTTCTCTTTGTAAACCACGATAAAATGTCCCAACCAGCGAGTTAAAGGGGAGACTTTCCAACCTTCCAACTCTCGCGCGAATTATTTTCCCAACAATCCAAGTGGCGATTTTCCAAATTCATTTTGAAAGAAGCGCTAAATAATAGTAAAGAAACAAAAATATTCAACGCCATGTTAAAATACATAATTCTACTTTGTATGAAATATATTAATAACGATTTGACTGCGGATGTTTATGCAAATTCATATGTTTACAGGCATTGAAGAAAGAGCGAGACTTGGAAAAAAGCATTTTAGCCCCTAAAATGTTGGAATATATGTATATTTTGTATATTGATGTTTATCTTTGTACATGTTCGCATATTTACAATTGTCGCAAACGCGTAAATATCTACGGTTTGATAATAATGAACGATCTTGTAGTATCTCTGCCAAACTCGCTTAAATTTCTTTAAATACAGGAAATACAGGAAAACTAATAGTCGTGATGCTTTGAAACTTGTTCTATCTTTATCCCTTAACTCAACACTTAAGAAAGTTAAAGTAAACTGCAATACGCTTCGTTTGATTGTTAAAACTTCAAATGTTATTACGAGAAATACAGCTGTGTAAGCTATGTAAGAAAAACATCAGTAGCCATAAAACTGTTTAAATTGCTGAGACTTGGAAATTTGTTTTCAGATGTGCCGGATCCGCCGGACCGTCCTCTTATATCGAACTTCACGTCGAGGTCCGTGCGTCTGTCTTGGGTGGCGAGCCGTAATTCTCATAACAACCCTATCCTGTACTACGTCATCGAAACTCAGTAAGTCGTTTAAATATTGATACTACACTTTCCACCCGATAACAGCGGCCTGCTTCGTACCATGCGACTCTCAAAGGAAATTAATCTGGTCGAAACCGATGGACTTGAAACGTTAAGAACTTCCAACGTCCAAACTCTCAACTTTCAGCGCTTCTCCCTTATTGCCAATTAATATTCTGTCGTCTTTCAGTTAATTTCCTCTCTCCACCTTTCTTATTTTCGTTTGTTTTTGTTTTACAATGATATTTTCGTTCGTTTGGTTTGAGAAAACGACACAAGAGGGACAAGGGACGCGGCCTAAAATTGCCGTCTGCATTCGAGTACGTCTCAGAGTCTGATTATCTTTCAGATACAAGCTACGAGTTCGAGGCTTTAGCCCAGTAGCTCGGGAAACGGAAACGGATAAAATAAAAGGAGTTACTAGGGATAAGAACTGCGGTGTCGATAAGCACCCTTTGTTCTCCCTCGCTTCTCCCGGTCCTGTTATCTTCTCCCGTCCTTCCCGCATCCCTGTGTGCCTCTTTTTCTCTTACTTCGCTTCTTCCTGTTTCTTTTCCCTCTATAGCTCGCTCTTCGACCACTCTACCCTCCCCTTCTGTCTCATTCTCTGTTCACGTACGAAAGGAAGGCCCCCACGCTCGCACTTATCCCCAGTTCCCTCTGGTTCCACCGATTTTCCACGGAGAAATTCGCTATCGACATTTCCGAGTGGCACGTATATCGAATGACCACTCGCGAGGTTTGCGCACGGGAATGCAGGAAAATGTGCAGAAGGAAATTGGACCGAACGAAGGGAGCTGCGAGAAAAGTTGGGAAAAGGAAGAAAGGGAAAGGCGAGGAAAAGTCTTTCGCCATTCTTTCTGTTTACCCTTCTTTCTAGCCATTTTCTCATCCCGGTCGCGACTAACTGGTTCGGTTTTACCGATAGCTTTCCTCGTGCCAACTTGCTAGAAGAGAACTCGGTCGTTACCATAACTTTCGTCGAAGCCCGCGCGTAAATCTACACCACTCCGCGGCGCGTTGTAAGTAACGCCGGTTTAATTCAATTTGCCGCACGCGTCTTTGTCCTGCTCTTTGGTGTGATCTCTGTAGTGTCGCAAACACTACGATCGGCACGAATCTTTTCAACGTAAGTAATTTTGTCCTGTAGTTCCTTTTGTTTAATAAATCCTGTCAGAAAATGTTGTTCGATATTGGAATTGCCAGAATTGTTAGAACAAACAATACGTAAGTTTTCGTAAAATTGATTTTTTGTAAAATATGTGGATATAAAAGCTTGTTCGTCTTGTATTATATTGTTAGAGGGAAAAACGATGGGAACGGAAAGAATGTTATTGCAAAAGTTTATTCCATTGGTTGTCTAACTACGCTGTTACCATACATAGTTTGATAAGCGACAAATTATAAACTATAGACTTCAGTTGCACAACTGTTTAATTTTTATCGTCGACGATATGTTTTTTCACATATCTTTCATTTTAATTTCTTTCGTTTATAATTTAGTTGTTCCAAGTTTTACGCTTTAGTCGTCGACGCTTGTAACTTTCAATTCTTTTGCAAATGAAAGATAAAAAAAAAGAAATAAATAAGGCAGGCTGTATTAAACATGTGCACCTTTTATGAATCGTTTACGGTGACGAATGAACCGTGAGTGTCGATCATGAAGAATAACGGCGACGCGTTTGTATTATTAATCTCTCATTCCGGTAGTTCTTCGTTCGTACTTTTTTTTATTGTGGACCGCGTCGCCAAATGAAGGTGGCGAATGTATGTGCAAAAAATGGACGAAAGGTAGATGAAGAAAAGAGAAAGAAGCAGCGGTTGGAACAGAGTGACGAGGCCATAGCAGCAGGGGGTTGGGCAAGGAAGAAAATTAGTTTGAGCCTTTGAAAAAGGAAGACAATGGAAGCTGGATCTACGGCGCGAAAAGTAGCGCTTCGATTTTCATCTCTGACGCCCTTTTGTTTTTTTCTCTTTTTCTTTCTTTTACAGTTTTCCGACTCAATGTAATAGCCACCAGTCCGTCGTGGTAACGCTACGTAAATAGTTTTAAATTACATAGCTCGTAAATCAGTCCTCTAATAGGATTCCCTGTTAAATCCGCCTTCTTTGCGGTTTTAAATATCTTTCAATTTCCCGAAGACCGCCTCAGCAATAACTTGATTAAAAGTACTTGTGAACTTGTTGGCAATAAAGGAATAAACCTATATTATATGCAAAGATATTATCAGTAAATACTATAAGTCGTGATATTATTGACCGAGAAGTTTCGTCCAACTTATTTTTTGGAAAAGAACGGAGTTACTTGTTCTAATTAAAATTTTTACCGATTAATTTTAAAAATGTAGTATTCATCGTTACTTATGATTGTCTTCCATCTGTGTTTTTCAGTAATGCAATTTTTTCGTTGTTGTTGAATTTCTCATTTTTCTTATTTAAAATATCCTTCCAGCGCGTTTAAAGTGATTTACAGTATTGAAAATGTTTTCCCTGCAGAAAGTTTTGTAAGCTTTAATCTAACCAAACTTTATAAATTGTAGTCTAATCGAGTTACCAGTCTATTTGAAACAAACTGTAACAATTGCCATCATTAAACATTTTTATCTCGTAGAAAATTCAACGTTTAAGAACAATTTTTATTATAGAATATAAAAATGTAGGAAGATGCACAAATAACAAAGATATGAAAACCAAAGTACATATTACTACATCCAAGAAATAAAACATCCTTTTATTCGAGTTACAAACCTGCATCTCGGTGATTCTGTTCTATGGTTAAAAAATTTTAAGAAGATTCCAGCTAAGAAGTAACTGGTCGGTAGAGAATAACGACCGCTTTCTTGGCCCCACGGGACGACGGATTTTTAATTCGAAACTCACGGAGCCGTTTATCGCTGGAGAAAGTTTCGACGTTGCGGTGTGGCTCGCCGTTGCAGAGAATCGTCGTCGGGACATAGCATTGTGAGGAATTCTTCGTCAAAACGGCGCTTGATTTCCTCAAAGATTAATAATCCACGGACGAAATGACTGCAGACCGTCTGTGGCTCCGATGGAAACTCCGCGTGGTTGCGCGAGAAGGGGTGAGAGGGAGAGTCAAAGGGATAAGAGGCAGGAAGAGAAGGAAAAAGAGAGTGAGAGGGGGATGAGAACGGAAGGCGAAGAAGGAAGTTTGTTCGAACTTTATTATAAAACTAATATTTTCCAAGTTCTATGAGGTATTACGATAGTTTTCTGAAAGGGCCTGCCAGCTAGAGCGGCAAGGCGAAGTGGTTCGCGGGCGAAACTTCAATATTCGGCGACCATAACGACACCCGGCTGATATATTATTTCCTATAACTTCTCTTCACTCTCACGGCTTTGTCTGGCCCCGTTGAACGAGGATAAGAGGATCGGAAAAGAAACTTGATTAAGAATTCCGTCCCCTCTGAACCTCCGTTTTATCTTCCCCCTACCTCTGACCCTCTCGTTCCCTTCTGTTCACAAGATACCGTTCTTTCTCTTTCTACGATGCGACTGCCATTCCCGTTCGGCGAAATGAATGGTCGTACGTGCGAAGTCCGCCGAAGTCCGCCTCCGCTGGTCCCATTCCAGCTTAATAATTAAATCTCAATTGGTCTCTACGTTGCTCATAATGGTTCATCGGATAACGCGATATTGGATACAATATTTCCATGACAGTATTAAGTTTTATTAAAATACATTCTGAATATTTATGTGATTTTACGTTTTTACGAGTTTAAACAGAGGAACGTGATCAGGGAAAAATTTGTTTCAATTTCGAAGTGTTATTAGAGAGAAACTAGAGTGCAGATGTTTGTACAAATTTATATTTTTATAGATGGATCCTATGCAAAGCTGAAAAGGATAGCTCTTGATGAAATGAATGTCCGGTCGATTGTTTTCGCTAGAATTGATAGAACCATTTAATTAGATACGTGTATTAGTTGAAAATTTTAGATTTATATATAAAACCATCTATGTACATATAGCATCGTATGGGGGAGGAAGGAAGGAGAATATTCATTTTTCTCCTATAAAAGATATTAATGTAATGAGGTTTTCAAATAAACACTCTTAATATTGAAACACTTAATAGTTAGTACAAATTGAATGCTTTTCACTGACTTTATTTTTTAATTGTAACGAAAAACAAAACAAAATAGAGTAACACTTGACAGTTTTCTCTTTTTAGAAATGTAACGAGAAAGTGTTGTGATAATTATGACCAACGATGTATATCTCGGACGACTACTTCCGAAAACGAGTGGCTTAACCTGCAACACAAATGTGGACGTTGAGATTTTTTGTCCGACTTGGCGAAAGTGGACCGTTTTAAACGCAGGAAATCCTAATCTAGTTAACAGCACAGCTCTTCGATTTACATTTCGATTCTACATTTTTGCTAATTTTGTTACGCTCTCCTCAAACAGAAGACCTCGTTTTCCTCATATTTCATTCTTGTTAGTCTCGGAAGACTTTCTTCTGGTTTTGTACAGTATTGGAACCAATGGTATGGAAAATCGGGAAATATATCATGGGTGATCACGATCATATGATCAGAGGATCACGTCGTTACGGATATGTGAATGGCCCAAACATTGACTGTCAAAAGAAAAAAAAAAGACGGGAGAGAATTGGGATTTTTCGCGTAAAAAGAACATAATGTCCTTAAATTTTCACCGAGAGTTTTATTTCTGTGAGGTTTAATGAACTGTCGACGGGAAAGTAATCCTCTGCTATATTCACGTCCGTCGAACTGGGCGGACTATCAATCTTCGTGCTACTACGGGGGACCAATCGATTTCCTCGAATAATTCATTCGCAGCCGCTCGTATAATCTGCGTAATATCGTTACACTCGTTTAAGCTTTCTTGACATTAACTATAATTGAATCGTTACTCGGACTACAATCAAGAAGTTAAACTTCTAAACGACGTAGAAATTCAAAATGTATCTTATGCAAAATAACCATGTTTCTATATATTTTTGAACAGTAGTGT